CTGCCTATCATTAATACCAAACCATTTTACATAAACCTTTGTTCCTTTTCTTCTTAGTATTTTTTCTACAAGATAAACATCCGGAAACTTAGCTTTTTGCAGCTCATATTCATAAAATCCTCCTAAAATTGGATGCCCATATTGATCATCTAAAATATATGTAGTGGGATTAGTTAATTTAACTTTTTTAACAATAAAAATTTCGTTGGACCAATTTGGTGTGTAACCTTTAGAAAATGCCTCTCGATACTTGCTTATTCTAACCTTATCACCAACTTTAAATTTATTTAATAAACTAGATGTTTTTATATGATTAAACTTGTCAAGAATATATTTTTCATTTCTTTTATTAACATCAACAGGTTTCATTTTTGTAGTTCCATGTTTTGTTAAATTATATTTTAAAACTATTTCAGGCAATAATTTAATCCATTTGTAATTACCTTGATAGCTAAACTCTTTCCACATTAAAGATTTTAAAGTTCTATTTACTCGTTCTACAATTGAAGCTTTTACATTGCTAAACGTGGAATAATGATTAATTTTTAATTTATCCATTAAAGTCTTAAATTCTTTATTATAAAATTCCTTTCCCATATCAGTCTGCATATGTTTTGGATAATTATTTTTCAAAATTTTATTCATTGCTTGTGTAATTTCCTTACCAGATTTATTTTTTACTGGCAAAGCCCATACAAATTTACTAAATGTATTAATTACAACAAGTATATACTTATACCCACCGTTTTGTTTAGAAAAAGCCTGCATATCTACTAGATCTGATTGAAATGTATCGTTTAAACCATTAATAATAACATGTCTACGTTTAAAATTTTTTCTAGCTGGTTTGTGCAATTCATTAATTATTTCTCTTTTAAAATCAATTATTTTATTCATATTTTACAACTAAAACCTTAAAAGGTTTTACTACTAATGAATAATTTAAATTAATTATTTAATTATATTTGCTTCTTTTAATTCTTCAATTATACTAACGATTTCGTTGTTATGATTGTCATTTCCTGCAAATTGTGATGCCATTAAAATTTTTAATCGATTTACCAATTCATTAGGATCATCCCAATGTACGTATTCAAAGGGTTTATTATTATATTGCATTAATAAACCACGACCGCGACGTGTTGTGGAGGTTGTTGCTCTGTCATTTTCCTCATTATCGTAATATTCTGCGAGACGTTTGGGTTGAGGTAATCTTATCTTTGATACTTGTTTTTTTTGTTTTTCTTTTGATTCTTTAACAATTTCATCAAGTAAAGGTTTAATTACATACTTATACTTTTCACCTCTATTACCGGCTGTTTGTTCATTCGCAATAAAATTTCTTTTATGTGCATTGGTGCTTTGCATAATATTTTTAAAATTTTCTCTATCTTCTGGAGTTATTAAACTTTCGTTTGGTCTATTTTTAAACAATAACTCATATAATCCATAAGTACCTTTATATATTTTATCTTTAACAAGCATTGTTTTTCCTTTTATAACAACATCATTTCCTTTAAAATCCATTTCTGAATCCCCAAAACGAAATTTTGATGTAATTACATCATAATTTAAATAATGAGTATCAAATATAGATTCAGTGTCTCGTATATATTTTTTAACGTATTCACGAGGTATTTCATCAAAATCTTCTAAATACAAATTAAAAGACTCATCTCGATTTATATAATCCCCAATATCTTGATAATTCTGTTGGCTAATACTGTCATCATAAATATAACTGCCTTGTAATGCATCTTGTAACGTATGATCTGCTATATTTGAATATTCAAATGTTTCATCATGTTTTACAGGGCTGGTTCCAAAGTCCCTTTTATTTGTTTTTATAGGGCTTGTTGCAAAGTCCCTTTTTTTTGATTTTATTGTTTTAGTTCCAATATCCCTTTTATTTGTTTTTATAGGACTGGTTCCAACATTTTTTTTATTTGTATAGAATTTTTTTTCTTTTTCGTCTTCTTCTACATCTTTTTTCTCCTCTTTTTTAATACTTTCTAATTTTACTTTTGGTTCATTTTGTTGAACAGAATAGGAAATTAATTGTTTAAAGGGTTGTAAAACATGTTCCGTTTGAAATCTATTTAGTTTTAATGCTTTTAATTTAGTTTTAATATCTTTTCTTTTTTTAATTAATTTTTTTGTTATTGTTTTTTGATCCATGTTAACTACTATTAACAACAATTTTATTATAACTGATGAATAAATTATTATTTTTTATATTTATAGTAATACAAAACCTCATCTGTTAAAAAAAAAAAAAAAAACGACTGCTGTTTTTACAGTAAAACAGGTATTTAAACAGCCAGTTTTATTAAAACAGCATGCTGTTTAAATAGTTAACCAGCTGTTTAAATATGCAGTGTGGAAGAAAAAACAGTTATGAAAATATAAAAGAATCAAATCCCTTTCTATAACGACCATAATTAATATCACAATCTTTGCATATAACTAAAAACCCATATTTGTCTTGCCAACACTTTGAACACATTTTTAAAAAATTATTTAATGAAATATCTGTATTAACATGATCTTTGTAAATATGTTTTAAATTCATTTCATCTTGTTTAAAAATAATTAACATATTTGCATTGTCTCTAATCAAATGTTTTGGTATATGAGCATAAGTTTGAGTTAAGTAAAAAGAGTCAATAAGGTTATGCCTACCCATTGCAAAAAAATCTCTAATAACACTTTGTTTTTCACATGCAACATCATCAAATATAAAAATCGAATTGGGTTTAGCATCAGAAGGGTTTACTATATTTTCATTATCACTATATTCATAATATTTAATTTCTTTAATAGGTTTTAATAATTCTTTCAAATAAACATAAATTGGTTGATATAATGATTTAGAATAAACATACACATTTTCAAAACGTAAACCATTAACATCTTCAAGCAAATTTAGCATAACATTTGTTTTTCCACAGTTAGAGGGGCCTGCTATTATACATCTAATTGTACTAGGCAACAAAATTCCATGCCTAAGTAGTTTATTATTATTCGCAAAATCAAATTTTGTAACCGGTAATTGACACTTTTGTTTAACTATTCGCATGTTTAACAACTAAATATATTTTTGATTTACATCTTCTTATATAAATAAAACCACTATTTATAAATTAATTAGTTTAATAAAATCAATAGATTAGGAAAGATCAAATTTGATAAATAAGTAAACATAAAAGTATGCAACTCATTTGTAAAAAAACAGTCAAACGAAAAGGTAGCGGTCTCTTAAATAAATTAATAAATAAATTACCCTTTGAGGCACATATTCCTGGTGGGTATAGATTTTGTGGTCCCGGAACTAAGCTTAATAAACGATTAGCACGAAACGATCAAGGTATTAATCAGTTAGACGAAGCGTGTAAAGTTCATGATATTGCTTACTCAAAATTTGATAATTTAGAACAAAGACACGAAGCAGATAAAATTTTATAAGGCATGGAAAAGAGTAAAATCTAAGGATTCTAGTGTAGGGGAAAAACTTGCTGCTCTAGGTGTTACAGCAGCTATGAAAACAAAAGTTAAACTTGGAATGGGTGTTAAACATAAAAGTAGTGGTAAAAAAAGACGTAATAAAAATAAAAATAAAAATAAACACACATTAGGTAAAGGTATTACTTTTAATAAAGCTCTTAAAAATGCTAATAAAGCACTTAAAAATAATGGTAAAGGTAAGGATATAAATTCTGCTATTAAAATAGCAATGAAAGAATTTAAAAAAATTAAAAGAAATAAAAAATATCCTAGAGTTATTTCATTTCCTAAAACAGGTGGTTTTTTACCACTGATTCCAATATTTGCAGGTTTATCTGCGTTAGGGGCTTTAGCAGGTGGTGCTAGCTCAATTGCAAGCGCTGTTAATAAAGCAAAAAGTGCACAAGACGAACTTAAAGAAAAACAACGACATAATGAAAAAATGGAATCTATAGCTATGGGTAAAGGATTATTTGTAAAACCTTATAAAAAAGGATACGGACTATTTGTAAACCCTTATTCATATTATAAAGGAAAACAAAATTTTTTATAAATAGACTACCAAAACGTCCACTAACTAATGTTGATTTGTTAAAAAATACTAAAAATTTATCAAATTTTCGTGGAATATTTATGAGAGATAATTTACCATTTAAAATTTATAAAAATGAAAATGGTATAATTAATCTTGACAGTCAAGTCAATTCAGGCAGTCATTGGACTGCTTATGTTAAAAAAGATAAAAATGTTTTTTACTATGATAGTTTTGGTAATCTTAAACCTCCTAATGATGTTGTAAAATACTTTAAAAGTTCAGGTCCCATAAAAATATTTTATAATCATACTCGTTATCAAAATTTAAATTATAACTGTGGTCATTTATCTCTTCAATTTTTATATAATAATGTTTAATATTATATTTTATATTTAGTTAATTATTACAATTTCGATGATGAAGACGTTTAGTTTTACTTCAACCCAATCAATTATTAGTGCAGATTTTAATCCACCTATTGATTTAAGAGAATATGCAAATGATTTTGTTATAGGTTTGCTTAGCTTAGAAGTTTATAATGCTATACCAAACATATCTCAAGGTAATAATAAATTTTACATTGGAAATGAAGTTATTGAAATTTCTACAGGAACTTATGATGTGGATAATATTAATGATTTTATAAATTTAAAATTGGATGAATTAAAAAAAGTAAAAGGTATAACTTTCAGCGTATATATTAGAGCTAATTTAAATACTTTAAAATGTGTTATAAGATCCAATCAAGATATTGACTTTAGTAAAGACGATTCGATAGGTAATTTATTAGGTTTTGGTAAAGAACTTTTAGCAAAAGACATACATCATGAATCAAAAAACCCTGTAAATATTATGAAAGTAAATTCAATTAAAATTTTATGTAATATAGTCAGCGGTTCCTATGAAAATGGAATCCCGGCACATACTCTTCACGAATTTTTTCCCACCGTTCCTGCAGGGTTTAAAATTGTAGAGTCACCACAAAATGTTATTTATTTACCAATTAACACAAATTTTGTAACTAATTTAACCTTTAAAATAGTCGACCAAGATGGAGATTTACTTAATTTTAGAGGAGAGACCATAACGTTAAGAGCTCATTTAAAACCTCTCTCGAACAATGGTTTTTAAATATAATAAATCTGCACCAGACACTAATTTTAGTGTTAAACCAATAGCTAAACGGTTAACATCCTCCAAACAATTAACATTTGCTAATCTTGAATACCTCAAGTCTTTGGGGTTTAAAATAAAAAACAACCACAACTATGAATATATTAAACGTAACTGATAGAGCTTTTTTTGATTATTCACTAGTAAACGTAGAAAAACATTCATATTTACCATATGTTTCCAACTCGTTTAACCCTTATGTGCATAGAGAATAAATATACTGATACCGCACAGATAGGTACAATTGTACCTTATACTAGAAAACATGTTTTTGATTTGCGAAAGCAAGTTTTTGGAATTGTTTAATGTTTTGTGTTTTGGTTAGTATATCTTTCCAAAGAATTAAAAGCTTTGAAATAACAAAAAATTAATATAAAAAAATTGTTTTGTTCTGCGTAGGCCGTTTTGTGAAATTGTTTATTTTGGTTTAAATTCAACGCATTGAAATATTTTAGTATTGATTCGGTTTTATAAAGTGTTTGAAGACATGGAGGGCCAAAGGGAATTATGTCGTTATCACATAGCCAAAGAACTTTTTATCAAGATTTAGGACGCAGCCTCGCAATGGGTAATATTGAAAAACGCTCGCAAATCCCAAATGTTGTAAACATATTTTCTACCAAAAATTCACTATAATCGATGATGGGGCATCCACTGGTACCATCAGGGTCATCATTTGCTACGGAAAATAAACCTCAAGAATCTAAAGGCCCTAAACCAGTAGTGGGATCATGCTATATTTGCCGTAACAAAAATAAAAAGCAAAGAAAAATGTTGCAGCGTTTGCAAAATCCCAATATGTGATGAACATGCTCAAACCATCACAAAATGTATGTTTCACTTCTGAACTGTAATTATATATATATATTTATATATATATATATATATATATATATATATATATATATATATATTTGTGAATTTATTGTTGATTTTATTTCCCCCCCCCCTATTAATTGTCAACTTAAACACATATAGGTACGAATGTACCTATCCGTGCTTAAATGGGATAATAAGTTTGGGATTAAAATAAAAAATTTCTACGTAAGGTAAATGTTAAAATTTTTACATAATAGGCATTATCTTTCCTTATTTTAAGATGTCATAAAACATGTACCATTTTTAAATTAAATTAAATAAGTTACTGCATAACAAAAATTAAAAAGGTACACCTGTACCTTTCCGTGCACATAAGGGTTAATAACAATGACGAAATTAGAATTCCAATTAATCAATCTGATTTGTTTACTCATCCAAGTGAGAGTTTTATATACATCGAGGGTAAATTATTAAAAGCAGATGGAACAATATCCACAACAGCTAAATTAGTTAATAACTTTTTTGCACATTTATTTGAAGAAATACGTTTAGAAATCGGTGGTAAAGTAATAGACCGTGTAAAAAATCCTGGAACAACTACTACTTTAAAAGGTTTAGTTTCATTTAATAAAAACGAATTAGAACGTTTAAAAAATGCTGGGTGGAATATTGATAGCGGAGAATCTTTATACGAAGTTCATAGTAGCACAGGATGTTTTAATGTATGCGTACCATTAAAAACTTTATTTGGTTTTGCGGAAGACTTTAAAAAAATTATTATAAACTTGAGGCAAGAGTTAACGTTAATACGAAGTAATTCTGATCAAAATGCAATTTATAACACATTAAAAACTGAAACAAATAAAATTGAAATAGGTAAAATAGTTTGGAAGATGCCTCATATTTCTGTTGCTGATGAAGAAAAATTAAAGTTATTTAATTTGTATGAAAGTGGTAGAGAATTGGAAATTGGGTTTAGAAGTTGGGAAATGTTTGAATATCCTTTGTTACAAAAAACTCAACACCATACTTGGAGTGTTAAATCAGCAACGCAGCTTGAAAAACCTCGATACATTATTGTTGCTTTTCAAACTGATCGTAAAAATGATTTATATAAAAACAATGGATATTTTGATAACATATTTTTAAGGAATATAAAATTATTTTTGAATTCCGAACAATTTCCATACGATCAGCTTCAGCTGCAATTTGATAAAGACCAATATTCTTTATTATATGAAATGTATTCAAATTTTCAACAATCATATTTTGAAAAAGAAAACGAACCTCTTTTATCTCCTCAACAATTTTTAAAATGGCTCCTATTGTTGTAATAGATTGTTCTAGACAAAATGATGTTCTAAATACTGGTACTGTTGATATTAGGTTAGAATGGGAAACAAGTAGAGATGTTCCAGATAAAACATCTGCCTATTGCATTATTTTACATGATCGTATTATTCGCTATATTCCTCTAACAGGAATAATTAATTCATTATAAGCAAACCAATTATGTTTAAAATAAAAATATATGTTTTATTTTAATAAAATTAAATATAAGAATAGAATTAGGTACCTATACAAATAAATTAAAGGTGAGAACCTCCCCACCTTTAATTTATTTTTTTATTTTTTAGGTTTAAATACTAACTCTTTTTTATAAGTTGGTTTAATGTTTGTTAAGTTTTAGAAAAGACAACATGTCCTTATTTTATATAGCTTACGACATTGCTAAACCTTTAACAATTCAAGATATTACTAGATTAGTACAATGTTTTCAATCCACCACTCCATTTCAAGATTTACATGATTTAGAAGAGGAATGGTATGCAAGTGTGAGCAATTTTTCATCTTTTGTGCTGGAAGAACAGTTGGTAAAAGAACAAAAACAACAGGAAAACACAATTGTTAAACAATATGAAAATAGGGATATGGAATATAACATTGAACATGATTTAAACAACTATTTAGATTTTACACAAAGTATATAAATTTTATATTTCTTTACTTAATAAAATTTTAAAATAATTTTTGATTTTAATTTAAACCCGTTTAGTAGTTGCAAAGATTTAGGAAAAATATATTATTGAATAATATACATTAAAATGAACTTGAGAAACATAAAGGTATGTGTAAACATTTTTTTTAAATCATGTTTATTTTAATAAATAAAAACCTTTAATTTTATTAAACTATTTATTTTTAAATTGAAATATAATATAAAATAAACATATTCTTATTTTAATAAATAAAAACCTTTAATTTTATTAAACTATTTATTTTTAAATTGAAATATAATATAAAATAAACATATTCTTAAGTTATTTAGTTTCTAAATTGGGTATAATACATAACATAAGGAAAAATATATTATTGAATAATATACATTAAAATGAACTTGAGAAACATAAAGGTATGTGTAAACATTTTTTTTTAATCATGTTTATTTTAATAAATAAAAACCTTTAATTTTATTAAACTATTTATTTTTAAATTGAAATATAATATAAAATAAACATATTCTTAAGTTATTTAGTTTCTAAATTGGGTATAATAAAAACATAGTATAATTTGTTTATTATATTTTATGATAAAAAAATTCTAATACTTGCTTCAATATTGTCTCTACAAATTGGACAATTATTTATTGGAATTGCACAATCTACACAAGTAACAGTATGCTTGCATGGAAAAAAAACTATGGATATTTCATTTTTATAACATATTTTACATAAGTTTATATCATCACTGTTTTCAATACAATTTTTTTCTGTTATATCATCACTGTTTTCAATACAATTTTTTTCTGTTATTTCTGAACAAGGTTGAAATCCATCTTCTAAGCACGGTGTTGTACATGGTTGTGTTGGAGTTGGAGAACTATCCATTATCTCAGAAACCATCCCATTTACAAATTCATCTCTTAATTTTTTAACATATTCAGGACCCATTTTTAATTGTAAAAAAGTACAATTTGGATTATAGGCAGCGTGTTCTGTCCACGGATCGTCAATATTTAACCATCCCTTTAAATCTAATCCACATTGAAAACAAATGACACGGTCTGATAACCCAGTATAAAAAAATCCTGCACTTGCCATTTGATGAGGTTTTTGATCCAATGCTTCTGGCCAGTCTTCAAACGAATACAAACGTTCTTGGTTTAATACAAATTCGGGGTGACATGCTGTTTTTTTTTTAATTATATTTGGAAAAATATTATCTTCAGGAACTGAATTGGGAAAAATTTCAAATATATTATTTTTGATTTCTGTGGTTGCAACACTTTGTGGACAAAATTGTTGTCCATTACACAAAAATAAGTTTTCCATAGTCACTACAAAAAAAACAAATACGGTTTTAGTTTATTATCATTACACATCCAAACACACACTGTAAAGTAAATAAAAGCATACAAATATTATATATTTACCCTTTCCACTGTTCGGTCTTACAGCTTTATAAAGATAATTCTTTAAAATTATAAATAAGTTTATAATATGTTATATTATTTTTTAGTTTTAATATATGCTCCATTATTTGTTGTTTTAAAGCAAGTAATTTAGTTTGATGATTTTTATTTTTATAAAATACCATTTTCTTTTTTAATTTTATTTCTTGTTCAGTTATTAGCTTTTTTAAAGCAATCAACCTTAATTTGTTGTTAGTGCGTTCAACTTTATGTTTAAAAACTGAATTGATTTTTACATAACTCATTATATATGTTTTAGTATTAGCTATACGTTTGAAGATTTAACAGAAACAAAACTTTATAAAATACATCATACTTTTTATATATCTACATAGTTTGTCCCTACCTTTACATCCACTTTTACCCCTCCATTTCCCTACTTTATTTTATATTTTAAAAAACAATATTTTTACTTACATAGTTTTATAAATTATAGAGCCACACAAAATCATGGTGCCATGCTTTATGACTCCAATCATTTACGGGGTGTTCCTCCCCTGACCTTAAAGAAAAAAATTAAAGAAAAAATTAAAGAAACTGAGAAAATTCAATGTTTACCTTTGACTAAACATCCAAAAAATCCCCCAAAAATCAAATAATTCTAAGTCATCTTCGGGGATTTCATTCTGCAATTCTTCATTTTTTGTTCTTAAGAGTTTTCTATTTAAACGTGTAATTTTATTAAATCTAAAATATACACAAATATCGCAATAGCAATGTTTCATTGTAAATTAATCTGTTGATGTGTGTACAAAGGTATCTTATATATACTTACTCTTTTTACCATTTTATTTAATCTTATGGAAGGAAGTAAAGCAGAAAACAAGAAAATAAATTTAAAAGATTTATTGCAATAAGGTTGGTAGACATAATATTTAACAACTTTAATTTTTCAAATATCACATAAAAATATATAAGAATCTTCTAAAATCGTTGTAATATCTCATCCAAAAAAAAAAAAAACCTAAAATCAGATCTCCATATCTTCTAATGTTGATATTGCTGTTGTACTAAATAAGGTGCCTAAATGTTAAAATATAATTCAAAATATATAATCCTAAAACAGGGTTCCCACCAACAAAATGAAACAAAATTCCCTGACTTTTCCAGGTTTTCCAGACCAATTTTCATCAATTTCCAGCAATAATTATAGTAAAAATATATTTTATTTTTCTTTTTACAATTTTTTTTAACATTTCTTAAAATATAATAAAAAAATTAAACAGAACATTCATAAAAAATTTGAAAGGAAACAAACTTAGTTTGTAAGGTCATACATTTTATAAATATTTGCGCAAATTATTTATTTTAGTTTCAATGCCCGGCTATATTATTTGTAAAAAATAATCTTCGGCCGGTAATAAAAATAGAAACAATTTTCGGAAAAATCAAGAAAAATTAGTTAAATTCCCTGACTTTTCGTAAAAATTAGTTAAATTCCCTGACTTTTCGTAAAATTCAGCAAATTCCCTGACTTTTCCCTGACTTTTTTATTAATATTTAATTTCCCTGACATTTCCAGGTTTTCCCTGTTTTCCAGGTGAGTGGGTACCCTGTAAAACATAATAAAGGTTATATGCATAAAAATAGTATTAGTGATTATATATTCCTAAAAAGTTAAAATACATTTATAAAACCCTACACCAATTAATAATAATAAAAAGCATTGATAAAAACTATTCAAACTTTATGTTTGTATATTCATCAGAAATTTCGGTGGTCATAAAGATTCTTTTCTTTAAAGCCTCCTTATTAATTTTTTCAATTTCAGGAATTAATTTATTAAATCTTCTTGGTAAAATTATAAAATTTGGAAATTCCTTTACTTTAACTATAATAAACTCACCATATTTTCCATCCATTTTTTCTAGGTAAACCATTTCATATTTTTTGTTGTCTTCAAGATCCTTTATTTTAATGAAAGCTAAATGGGTACATTCATTAAGTTTTGCTAAAATGTTACTCATGTTGATAGTAGATAGGCACTTAATACAAACTTTAAAATGAATGTAATAGAACTACATGCAAGCTGGCTTTATATATTGACTTACCCCTCCACTATTTTAATACTATTTTGTCTACGCAAGAGTAAAGCAAAGAGATCAAGTTTTACATTTAATATTTTTAATTTTATAATATTTTAAGGTGGTATGGATGATGTTTCCAACCTTTCTATACGTTTTTCCATATTATCCAACTTCATAATAAAATAACTGTTTTTAGAATTTAATTGAATTTCATAATATTTAATAGCTTTTTTAAATTGATCTAATTGACTTATAAAGTCATCAAATTTTGTACTAAAAGATATATTATTAATTTTATTATCAATTACCTGTTGATCTAATAACTTTTCGTTTTTATTTATAATTTTTTCTTGTTTATCAAGTTTTTTTTCTATATTTTCAATTAGTTGAAATGCATCCAATATTTTTTTTAATGTTTTCTCTATCGCTTCGTTTAATATTTTATTTTGCTTGTCTTGAAATTGTTTTAAATCGGTTTTAAAGTTTGTTTTATTTACTATGTCTTTATAATCTGTTTGTATTTTAGTTAAATTACTTTTTAAATCTTTTTCTAATTTTACAACCTGTTGTTTTGTTGATTTTAAATTAACGTCTGATAATTTAATGTTTTTATTATTATTATTACCAATATTTTTTAAATTTTGAATGTTTTTTTTAAGTTTGTCGAATTCAATGTCATTACTATCTATTATACTTTGTATTGAGTCGTATACAGAATTATAAAAATTTTTCAAATAGTCTTCAAGATATTTTTTATTAACCACATCATTATCATTATTTTTATTATAAATAGAAGTATGATGTCCAAACTTATCGAGACTCATATTAAAAATAACTACACCTTATTTAAACATACATATTTAAGAAGAGTATTAAGCGTCTATAGAGCAGAATACATATTATAAAACCGGCAGTAGCATAAACACTTAAAAAGAAAAAAAGAATGTTTAATTAATGTGTATAAGAAAAGCGTAGGCAATAAATCAAGTCTGCAGGTGGTAC